GTTGTGAAGCAGAAAGTCAGTTTTATTGTACACAATCGGTCAATTGCAGCTTGCCGTTGGCTGGAAACTGTACGTTTCTGTCACTGGAATGCACTAATCACCCAAATAATATTACCGCCACCCGGCGTGTAAATGGATCTAACTCTTTGAACGTACAATAGTGGTTGTGAAGCAGAAAGTCAGTTTATTTAGCACAATCGGTCAATTGCAGCTTGCCGTTGGCTGGAAACTGTACGTTTATGTCACTGGAATGCACTAATCACCCAAAAAAATATTACCGCCACCCGGCGTGTATATGGATTTAACTCTTTGAACGTACAATAGTGGTTGTGAAGCAGAAAGTCAGTTTATTTAGCACAATCGGTCAATTGCAGCTTGCCGTTGGCTGGAAACTGTACGTTTATGTCACTGGAATGCACTAATCACCCAAAAAATATTACCGCCACCCGGCGTGTATATGGATTTAACTCTTTGAACGTACAATAGTGGTTGTGAAGCAGAAAGTAGTTTATTTAGCACAATCGGTCAATTGCAGCTTGCCGGTTTGCTGGAAACTGTACGTTTATGTCACTGGAATGCACTAATCACCCAAAAAATATTACCGCCACCCGGCGTGTATATGGATTTAACTCTTTGAACGTACAATAGTGGTTGTGAAGCAGAAAGTCAGTTTATTTAGCACAATCGGTCAATTGCAGCTTGCCGTTGGCTGGAAACTGTACGTTTATGTCACTGGAATGCACTAATCACCCAAAAAATATTACCGCCACCCGGCGTGTAAATGGATTTAACTCTTTGAACGTACAATAGTGGTTGTGAAGCAGAAAGTCAGTTTTGATTTAGCACAATCGGTCAATTGCAGCTTGCCGTTGGCTGGAAACTGTTTCGTTTATGTCACTGGTATGCACTAATCACCCAAAAAATATTACCGCCACCCGGCGTGTAAATGGATCTAACTCTTTGAACGTACAATAGTGGTTGTGAAGCAGAAAGTCAGTTTATTTAGCACAATCGGTCAATTGCAGCTTGCCGTTGGCTGGAAAACTGTACGTTTATGTCACTGGAATGCACTAATCACCCAAAAAATATTACCGCCAGCCGGCGTGTGTAAATGGATTTTAACTCTTTGAACGTACAATAGTGGTTGTGAAGCAGAAAGTCAGTTTATTGTACACAATCGGTCAATTGCAGCTTGCCGTTGGCTGGAAACTGTACGTTTCTGTCACTGGAATGCACTAATCACCCAAAAAATATTACCGCCAGCCGGCGTGTAAATGGATTTAACTCTTTGAACGTACAATAGTGGTTTGTGAAGCAGAAAGTCAGTTTATTTTGCACAATCGGCAAACTGCAGCACCAACTGTGCACGACAGCCCAAAAAAAAAATGGTGTATGTCACTTTAAATTTTCGATTCTTTGATAGCTGTGGCCCTAAGTAATGATTCTGTGTCCCTGAGTAACGATTCTGTGTCCCTGAGTAACGATTCTGTGTCCCTGAGTAACGATTCTGTGTCCCTGAGTAACAATTCTGTGGCCCTAAAGTCTCTGTGGCCCTAACTCTGTCCCTCAATACACAGAGGTCTGTCTCTCTTGAATGACCGGAGGCTAATGGAGAATTCTAAGATGGCCGCGATTTATAGCTCCACCATTACACAGTGCTGGCTGGCTGGCTGCTGATTGGCTAATGCGATCACATGTCATGATTCATGACTCATGAATGCATTATGGGTCAGCGCGCCTTGTCTGCACGCCTTCCCAGAGATCCCCGCCCCATCTTCTCTGTCCATTTTCTCCTGTCGCCACACATGTCGCCGCCATTTTTGGGAAAATTCGATTCGTGCATCCGAAGTTTGCTAATCTTCGGATTCGTCGCGAATAGAATTTTTCCAAATCTTCGGAACGAATTCCACTTCGTCATGTTCGATTCGCTCATCTCTAGTCATGAGCCATGACTAATATTTTAGTGGCAAGTTGATTTTTAACATGCCCCTTTATAGTACCCTTTCCTGTGCTCCTTTACTGCTTCAGAAGACAAGAAGATATTCTGGTATGGGTGAGAATGTGATTCACTATCCTTCTGCCATGTGACAAAGTTTGCTAATTGGCCCTCATGGAATTTAAACAGCTGCAGCTCTCATGCCTATATGTCCCCTGTGAATCAGGGAATTTTTTAAATATATGCTATTAGTCTGTTTATTCATCAATAACTCTAATAATTTTTAGGATAACAAAGTATTACACACACACACAAATGTACAGTGTATATATATTTATATATATATATATTATATAACACACACACCCAAAAACAATATACAAAACTAAACAAAATGTATTCGACCACCGGCAGTTTAAAAAAAATATTGTTGCTCTAGATATAAAGTATACACCTATGGAGGGAGAGGGTGGGATCTAAGGAGGGGCAGCATTTTTAAGCTATGCTTGGGGCATCAGTTGCCCTAATCTGGCCCTAAATATGGGTGTGCAGAATACCCCCTTAAGGGTTGCTTAGTAATTTTTGGCTTCCCTCTTGATTTGGACCTCTTGTTGAAAGCTCAACCTCTGCTGACACCACTGTGCTCTGGTGACCCAAATAAATCACACCTGTAGAATGGATTCAGCAAATATGATGACTCTTGGCAATTGTGAGCAAAAGAAACAACATTCACAATGAAGCAACAGTGTCTTCTAGCAGGCCTGCTTTCAGAAATAATCCACTGCCTCCAGTCTGAGGAGACTATTGAATCCCCAGTGTGCAGGAATGACTATCAATAACAGATAGGCCCACCGTCGGTCTTCAGAGCTGAATAACAAGGATTAGATGTGAAATAAAGAGAATTCTCAGTTATAAATTGGCAGTGTCCCCTTTAAGCGCTCTATAATGTCTTCTGTGTGCTTGCTGGGGCCCAATTAATATGAAGTTGTGTCAAGGGGTGGATGGTAGTTCCTTAGGGTGTCACATCATCAAAGATAGTGAAGGAAGAGGAGAATACTTAACACTTCCCCTGATTGATGGTAAACATTTAGTGCCAGGTTCCCTTTAAGAGCTCTAAGGCTTGATGTAGTAAACAGCCACGATTTGCATAAATGTCTATGGACAAAAGCAAAGGATGGACAGTAGTAAGAGTCCTGCTCTGCAGAAAGTGAACTGGTTGATTCAGTTGGAATGGCTGCATCTTGATCTATATTCCTGTGGTCAGCTAACTGTACTGCAGATGTATTCCAAGGATGGCACTGGTATACCTAGGCCGCAAAGTAGGGCAACTGTATGTTATGTTTACAACTGGTTGCAAGTAGATAACTGAGGCGATGAGCTATCAATGTTCAATTTGTTAGTGGATGTTTCTGTCCCTCTCACCCGATCAGATTGCCACGATCTGTCTTTCCCAATGAACAGAGACAGTCCACGGGCCCTCTGGTTCAGACTTGGTGTTCCACTCTGTCTCCTGCAGTCCGAGTGGCCTTTCATTTCAATGGGTTACAGGTGTATCATAAAACATGGTCAGTAAGAAGGAGTATGCTTTTATGATTTTATTCATTGCTTGTGGCATCTCTGGGTGAAAAAAGTCCAATTTGGTATTTGGTATCCGGGCACTTTCACATGTGAGAGTGATTGAAGCTACACATAAGAAATCCCCTTATTGGTTCGATGCATGCATTGTTGTATGTTGTTTTAGTAGGTCAGGTGACTGACTATGCTACTTATTTTTCACCATTCCCCAGCTTACTGCTATTTCAATATACTTTATAATAGGCTTAAAATGAAGGCTGTAATTTAAAAAAAAACATACATTTTATACTTACCTGCTGTGTGCAGTGGTTTATCCTCTTCTTTTTGGGTCCCTCGCGGGCGGTCCTGGCTCCTCCCCCCTACTGAATGCCCACAATAGCATGCCTCTTGCTATGGGGGCTCTCGAGCAGGCTCACTTCCGAGCAGCGCTCCTGTGAATGGACATTGTCCATTCACACAAACACAGCATGGCTTTGCCCGCTCCCTCGCCTCTCTCCCCATTGGCTCACTAGCTGTGATTGATAGCAGCAGTAGCCAATGGCTCCCGCTGCTGTGTGTGAGCCAATGAGGAGAGAGAGACCTAAAGAATGCAGTAAGGTAAAAAAAAAACTTCTGCCTTTAGAACCAATTTAATACAAAATAATACATGGAAAAACCTAAAGCACTCTGGATATTTGCAGTGAAATGCTCTGTATTGGAATATTCATGTAAAGCAGATGTACAGTATCTCCTAATAAACTGTGGTGGTGTGTAGGGGTTTAAAGAAGCACTTCCCCTGTGCTTTTGAAAATTAAAAGTCAGCAGCTACAAGGATTGTAGTTACTGAGTTTTAAGAAGCATATACTAAAGCAGGCCATACATGGATCAAATTTCGAAAGATTTTTCGATCGAAAATTAAAAACATTGTTTGTTCTGTAATCCGATAGTGCTACCCAACGAGTTCGAAGATCGTTCGTTTTTCAGGAATTTTCCAGCATGCCTGATAAACGAAATGGGGAAGAACCACGAAAATTGGCCGGTGCCATTGCCCCACTAACAAAGCTAAAATCCTCCAATTTATTCTTATGTCCGATTTTTAAATGAAAAATCGTTCAAAAATGGACCTATGTATGGCCGGCCTTACCAGCCCATGCAGTCCAGTACCGGCTTTCACACACACCCAACTCTTCTCCTAATTACCCCCCTTACTGTGTGATACATGACACTCAGTGAGACTGGTCCTGTAGCCTCCTGAGATAACTTCACACATCCCAGGAGGCTACAGGACCAGTCTCAGAGGTGACCAGTCTGTGGCTGTACATCACCCTCACCTAAGTAAGGGAGAAGGAAATGGGAGTGAGTAGCACAGCAAAAGGGGCACTAAAAAAAAGAAATCTGAATAGTCTAGGGGCGGACACAGTACAGGGATGACCAGAGACTGCGGACACAGTACAGGGATGACCAGAGACTGCGGACACAGTACAGGGATGACCAGAGACTGCGGACACAGTACAGGGATGACCAGAGACTGCGGACACAGTACAGGGATGACCAGAGACTGCGGACACAGTACAGGGATGACCAGAGACTGCGGACACAGTACAGGGATGACCAGAGACTGCGGACACAGTACAGGAGATGACCAGAGACTGCGGACACAGTACAGGAGATGACCAGAGACTGCGGACACAGTACAGGGATGACCAGAGACTGCGGACAGTACAGTACAGGGATGACCAGAGACTGCGGACACAGTACAGGGATGACCAGAGACTGCGGACACAGTACAGGGATGACCAGAGACTGCGGACACAGTACAGGGAGATGACCAGAGACTGCGGACAGTACAGGGAGATGACCAGAGACTGCGGACACAGTACAGGGATGACCAGAGACTGCGGACACAGTACAGGGGATGACCAGAGACTGCGGACACAGTACAGGAGATGACCAGAGACTGCGGACACAGTACAGGGATGACCAGAGACTGCGGACACAGTACAGGAGATGACCAGAGACTGCGGACACAGTACAGGGATGACCAGAGACTGCGGACAGTACAGGGATGACCAGAGACTGCGGACAGTACAGGAGATGACCAGAGACTGCGGACACAGTACAGGGATGACCAGAGACTGCGGACACACAGTACAGGAGATGACCAGAGACTGCGGACACAGTACAGGGATGACCAGAGACTGCGGACACAGTACAGGGAGATGACCAGAGACTGCGGACAGTACAGGGATGACCAGAGACTGCGGACAGTACAGGAGATGACCAGAGACTGCGGACACAGTACAGGAGGAGATGACCAGAGACTGCGGACAGTACAGGAGATGACCAGAGACTGCGGACACAGTACAGGGATGACCAGAGACTGCGGACACAGTACAGGGATGACCAGAGACTGCGGACACAGTACAGGGAGAGACCAGAGACTGCGGACACAGTACAGGGATGACCAGAGAGACTGCGGACACAGTACAGGGATGACCAGAGACTGCGGACACAGTACAGGGATGACCAGAGACTGTACAGGACCAGAGACTGCGGACAGTAGGAGATGACCAGAGACTGCGGACACAGTACAGGGATGACCAGAGACTGCGGACAGTACAGGGAGATGACCAGAGACTGCGGACAGTACAGGAGATGACCAGAGACTGCGGACAGTACAGGAGATGACCAGAGACTGCGGACACAGTACAGGGAGATGACCAGAGACTGCGGACACAGTACAGGAGATGACCACCAGAGACTGCGGACACAGTACAGGAGATGACCAGAGACTGCGGACACAGTACAGGGATGACCAGAGACTGCGGACACAGTACAGGGATGACCAGAGACTGCGGACACAGTACAGGGATGACCAGAGACTGCGGACAGTACAGGAGATGACCAGAGACTGCGGACAGTACAGGGATGACCAGAGACTGCGGACACAGTACAGGGATGACCAGAGACTGCGGACAGTACAGGGATGACCAGAGAGACTGCGGACAGTACAGGGATGACCAGAGACTGCGGACACAGTACAGGAGATGACCAGAGACTGCGGACACAGTACAGGGATGACCAGAGACTGCGGACACAGTACAGGGATGACCAGAGACTGCGGACAGTACAGGAGATGACCAGAGACTGCGGACACAGTACAGGAGATGACCAGAGACTGCGGACACAGTACAGGAGATGACCAGAGACTGCGGACACAGTACAGGGATGACCAGAGACTGCGGACACAGTACAGGGATGACCAGAGACTGCGGACACAGTACAGGGATGACCAGAGACTGCGGACACAGTACAGGGATGACCAGAGACTGCGGACACAGTACAGGGATGACCAGAGACTGCGGACAGTACAGGGATGACCAGAGACTGCGGGACACAGTACAGGGATGACCAGAGACTGCGGACACAGTACAGGGGATGACCAGAGACTGCGGACAGTACAGGGATGACCAGAGACTGCGGACAGTACAGGAGATGACCAGAGACTGCGGACACAGTACAGGGATGACCAGAGACTGCGGACACAGTACAGGAGATGACCAGAGACTGCGGAACAGTACAGGAGATGACCAGAGACTGCGGACACAGTACAGGAGATGACCAGAGACTGCGGACACAGTACAGGGATGACCAGAGACTGCGGACACAGTACAGGGATGACCAGAGACTGCGGACACAGTACAGGGATGACCAGAGACTGCGGACACAGTACAGGGATGACCAGAGACTGCGGACAGTACAGGGATGACCAGAGACTGCGGACAGTACAGGGTGATGACCAGAGACTGCGGACACAGTACAGGGATGACCAGAGACTGCGGGACAGTACAGGGATGACCAGAGACTGCGACACAGTACAGGGAGATGACCAGAGACTGGGGACACAGTACAGGAGATGACCAGAGACTGCGGACAGCACAGGGATGACCAGAGACTGCGGACAGCACAGGGATGACCAGAGACTGCGGACAGTAGCACAGGATGACCTTTGGGGAGGGAGGGGGAGCGGGTACCTGAATTTGACAGGTACCCGCTCTTACTTCCGCAGAGTTTTTTTTTTTTTTTATCTTACCTGTTCCTCGATCCAGCCGCGCGCGCTGTCTTCCCGGCTTCTGTAGTGTGGGCGCTCGTCGGACAGCCGGATGCCCAGTGCGCATGCGCGAGAAGCGCTGCGCTTTGTGATTGGTCCGGCGGCTTCTGGGATCTGTCATGTGTCCCAGGTACCGCCTTACCATTCACAAGGAGCACTGCTTCTTGTGCATGCGCACTTGGGACCCGGCTGTCACGCACACTACAGCCGGGAAGACAGCGCGCCGCTGGATTCTCCTGGCGTGCCCACAGATAAGGCTCGGCGTGCCGGCTGTGGCACGTGTGCCACGGGTTCGCCATCACTGGTCTAGGGAGGAGAAAGAGAAAGATGATATCTTTAATTTTCAATCAAAGGTCTGCTTTAAAAGCAAACATTTATTTATTTTTTTAATTCTCTTTATTGACTTATAAAGTGGAGAATACAAAATGAAGCCTACTGGGCATACCCAGGCTTCATCAAGTCACAAATAATGAAAAAACAAACAAGAAGAGAACATGACACACAGATAAGGTGAACAACAAACAGAGGACTAAAAGCACACATTTAAAATAAAATAAAGATAAAATAAAAAAAAAAAAAAGTAGTCAGTTCTTATCTCTCATGGGTGGTTAGTAGATTTCAACTGTAAGCTTCCTAGACAGCCCAGAGCTTTTGTTCTGGCATTGAATTTTGTAGAGGACCTTGGCATCACCACCGTGAAAGACAGCTGAACTGTCTCTAAAAGCTACTGCTTATGCGCTCAGCACTGAGTGACGTGCAAATGAAGTAATTGTCCGCATGAAACTAAATCTCCTACCAAAAAGTAAGTAAAAGGTTCCCGATAGGTAGAGTCAACGCCTGTCTTCAGGTGTATTGGATTCTTCAGCAATGAGATCTCCCTACTAGAATTCCTGGCTCTGTCTCTATCCACCTGGAAGATGATGTGGGGAATTCTGCCTTAGATTAGGAAGCTAAAGCTGGCCATAGAAAGGTCAATTTATTGTTGTTGTTCAAACGGCAGACTAAATGGGAACAAATGAGGTGGATGAAGGTATCCCCCCAGCCGGGACATTGTATGCTGACAGTGGGATCCACTAATAGGCTAAAGGATCTTCAGAAGAGTGGCTTTCTTTCTGATCTGCAAGGGATCCATAAACAGATCCTCTACTTAATTAGAGCACACGGAACGGATGCCACTTTTATTGTACCCGTTTGCACAATTTATTGCTGCATCTTGTAATGGACCCATGTCCATGTTAGGTCTATAGGCAGTCAGATATAAATGAACATGCATCTGTTTACATCCTTTCACCTCCGATCTATAGTCTTTTGGTCCAAAAAAAAGGAAAACTTTGGTCCAAAAGAATGCAAATTTTTCCATTTTTTTTTTTTTCATCCTAAACGGACATGCGAGGTAGTCTTATGTAAACATACGCACATCTGTTTATATCCGCTTTCCCATAGACTAAGATTAAGCTTCTGTTAAGATCTGCCTGAAAAACTGACAGCCGTGTCTTATCTGAATGCTTGTCTTAAAGCGGAGCTCCACCCAAAAGGGGAAGAGTTCCGCTTTAAGGACTGCTCCCTCACTCCCCATTAAGGATTGGCACCTTTGGGGGCGGGGGGGAGCAGGTACCCGAATTTGACAGGTACCCGCTCCCACTTCCGGTCCGATCGCCTAGGCAATCAGAAGCGGAAGGAGTCCTCTCTCCCTGTAGTCTTTTGGGACATGTGACAGGTCCCAGAAGACTACAGAACCATTCATGAAGCGCAGCGCTACTCGCGCATGCGCAGGGAGTACCCGGCTGTGAAGCCGCAAGCTATCACAACCGGGTGCCCACACTGAAGATGCTGGCCTCCTGGAATACAGGATGGCCTGTGAAACGGGACACACCACGGGACTGAGGGACAGGTAAGTGGCTGTTTTTTAAAAGTCAGCAGCTACAGTTTTTGTTTTTTTGACAGGGTAAGTGGAACTCCACTTTAACCACTCACCCTCCAGAGGATTTACCCCCCCTTCCTGACCTGGACATTTTTTTGCGATACAGCCCTGCGTTACTTTAACTGACAATTGCGCAGTCACGCAACGCTGTACATAAATTAAATTTATATCATTTTATTCCCCACAAACAGAGCTTTCTTTCAGAGATATTTGATCACCTCTGCATTTTTTTTATTTTTTGCACTATCAACAAAAATGACCAACAATTCTGAAAAAAAAAAACAATATTTTTGACTTGACTTGCTATAAAACATATCCAATAAAAAAATTTAAAAAAATAAAATTTCTTCATAAATTTAGGCCAAAATGTATTCTGCTATATGTCTTTGCTAAAAAAAAAATCCCAATACGTGTAAATTAACCACTTGCCTACCAGGCACTTATACCCCCTTCCTTACCAGGCCAATTTTCAGCTTTCAGTGCTGCCGCACTTTGATTGACAATTGCGCGGTCATGCAACATTGTACCTATATGAAATTTTGATCATTTTTTTCTCACAAATAGAGCTTTCTTTTGGTGGTATTTAATTGCCACTGGGCGCTTTACTTTTTGCGCGCTATAAATAAAAAAAAAGTGCAAAAAATTTGAAAAAAAAAAAAAAAGTTTATTTGTTTCTTTTATAAAATTTTTCAAACAGGTATTTTTTCTCCTTCACTGATGTGCGTTGATGAGGCAGCACTGATGGGCACTGATAGGCGGCACTGATGGGACTGATAGGCAGCACTAAAGGGCACATTGATGGGCATAGGCAGTACTAATGAGGTGGCACGGATAGGCGGCACTGATAGACAGCACTAATTAGGGGTCACGGATAGGCGGCACTAATATGCAGCACTGATAGGCGGCACTGATAGGTGACACTGATGATGGGTACTGATAGACGGCACTGACTGGCATCACTGCTGGGCACTGACTGGCGGCACTGACTGGCACAACCCCTGGGCACTGACTGGTGGCACTGACTGGCAGCACTGCTGGGCTGCACTGGTGGGTGGCACTGGTGGGCAGCACTGGTGGGTGGGCACAGGTGGGTGGCACTGGTGGGCACAGGTGGGTGGGCACAGGTGGGTGGCACTGCTGGGCACATGTAGGTGGCACTTCTGGGCACAGGTAGGTGGCACTGCAGAGTGGCACAGGTGTGGGTGCACTGCTGGGCACAGGTGGGTGCACTGATGGGCACGGGTTGGGCGGAGCTAGTGGGCGCACTGCTGGGCGGAACTTGCGGGTGGCACTGCTGCTGGCACCGATCATCAGGGCACTGATCATCAGTGCCCTGATGATCGGTGCCGATCCCCGCTCTGACAACTGCCGGTTCTCGGCAGTACTTTCCTCACGATCTGACAGCGTGAGGAAAGTGCAGCCGAGAACCGGCACTTGCATTTCCTTCTGATCAGCGTGTCATTGGACACCGCTGATCAGGTGGTAAAAGGCCACTGTGATTGGCCTTTTACCACATCACGAGATCAGCTGTGTCCGTAGGAGACAGGCCGGAGTGGCGGGTGCGCCCCCTGGGGCGCGCAGGAGAGCGCGTTCTGGGAGGACGTCATATGACGTCCACTCAGAACTGGCCGGCCGCAGTGAAGCCGTCATTCGGCTATCTGCGGTCGGCAGCTGGTTAATTGGCTTACGTGAAAGTTTATAGCGTCTACAAATGGCAGTATATATACTGGAATTTTAATTTTTATACTAGTATTGGCAGCGATCAGCGACTTATAGCAGGAATGCAGCGGGCATTCTGACACGGGGGAGGAACTGACTAACTGCCACTGACATCCCCAGTGACACTAAAACAGTGATCAGTGCTAATAAAAGCACTGACACTGTACTAATGACACTGGGCAGGAAGGGGTTACCAGCTGGGGAGATCAGAGGGTTAACTGTGCTGTGTGTGTGTGTGTTTTACTAGGGAGACATGCTGTTTTTGTATCTCTCTGCTGTGCAGAGAAATACAAAGCAGCATGTCAATGCTGACAGGAGAGAGACTTGTGTGTAAACAACTTTCCCAGACAATCGCCAAGTGCCGGCTGGGACCCAGTGATTGACATCTCTATCCACCAATAGCGGCATGGGTAGGGCTCGCCCCTACCCGGAAATGCAAATCACGTATAATTACGTGATTTTGTGCAGCCCTGCCGTCCTGTAGCAGTACTTCTGCTATAGGGCGGAGGGCAACAGGATCCAAGAACATGTTCAACAAGCACAGTAAATACCTGTTGATCATGATAGAAATACAGAGTGCATGTCACTGTGAGATGAACATAAAAAAATAATTAACATTATCTTTCTACTGCAAACTACTAATCCCCCCACCTCCCATGTGATGGAGATGAAAAAAGGCAGACATGTTTGTAGTCCAGCCTGGGTAACATCCATGGCTCCTTCATAGGAGGACAGAGTATAGCCAATCAGGGTTATTTATCCACAGAATTACCAGGTGAAATCAAAGGGAAAAAAAGTGAGAAAGAAGGAAAACTAATGCAGCCACCATATCTAAGGACAATATTTGACATTTTTGTTTCGGAGTTTAGATATGGATTAAAGGCCAGTTTTCTTTTTTGCCTTTTGGTTGCATTTTGTTACGGACCCAAACAGTGCATCACAGAAGAGAAAATGCAGCGTCATTGCTTTTAGCGGGTACAACATGTCGACCGAATACAAAATGCACGCAGACTTCAGGAAAAAACGCAGGTGTTTAATATTTTCAATAATACAGTAGAAATGTGCCCTAGGATTGAATAAATCAGTATATGCAGTAGGCAGCTGATCCCAAGTCACATTGTTAGAGATGAACAATTTCTACATGGTAATAGGAGGGAGACGAATAAAAAGTTGTATTTTGACACAG